TTGGACGTGTGGGGCCCAGCCCGCGTCCGTGGACAGGGCCGCGAGCGGTACTTCCTGCTGGTCGTCGACGACTACACGCGTTACACCACGGTCTTCCCCTTGCGCAGCAAGGGGGAGGTCCCTGATGTTTTGATCCCCTGGATCCGCGCTGCTCGTCTCCAGCTCCACGAGCGGTTCCACTCGGACTTTCCTGTCCTGCGTCTGCACTCTGACAGAGGTGGTGAGTTCTCCTCAGACCTCTTGGCAGCCTACTGTGCGGAGCACGGCATCCGCCAGTCGTTCACGCTTCCGGCCTCTCCGCAGCAGAATGGGGTTGCTGAGCGCCGCATTGGCTTAGTCATGGAAATCGCTCGTACCTCCATGATCCATGCTGTTGCCCCCCATTTTCTGTGGCCGTTTGCGGTCCGGTACGCCGCGCATCAGCTCAACCTCTGGCCCCGTGTCTCCTTGCCGGAGACCTCGCCCACACTGCTGTGGACGGGGAAGGTTGGCGATGCGTCGCGTTTCCGGGTCTGGGGTGCTCGTGCCTTTGTCCGCGATACCACCGCGGACAAGCTCTCCGCCCGCGCTGTTCCCTGTGTCTTCCTTGGCTTTGTCCCTGACGCGCCTGGTTGGCAGTTTTACCACCCCACCTCGCGCCGTGTCTTCCCCTCTCAGGACGTCACGTTCGACGAGTCGGTTCCCTTTTACCGTCTCTTCCCCTACCGCACTGCCCCTCTCCCCCCCCCGCCGCTCTTCCTCGCTCCAGGTGCTCCCCAGGTAGACCCCCTCCCCGCTCCCGGTCCTGCTCCTTCAGGTGTGTCTCAGGTAGACCCTCCTCCTCAGGTTGAGATCACTGGTGACTCAGGTGCTGCTGAGGGTGGTGCTGCTGCTGGGGGTGCTGAGCCTGGGGGTGCGGAGCCTGGGGGTGCGGAGCCTGGGGGTGCTGAGCCTGGGGGTGCTGAGCCTGGGGGTGCTGAGCCTGGGGGTGCGGAGCCTGGGGGTGCGGAGCCTAGGGGTGCGGAGACTGGAGGTGCTGAGCCTGGGTGTGAGGAGTCTGGGGGTGCTGAGCCTGGGGGCGCTGAGGCGTCTGGTGAGCAGTCTCCCGAGAGCGGCCGTCTCCGTAGTTGCTCCGCTGGTGCCTCGCCACTGCACTCTCGTCGTCGACTCCCTCTCTCCCCACAGCAGCTGTTTGAGTGGTACGCTGGCCGTCAGGGTCGTGCTGCTGGAGCTAGGGGCCCTGGTGCGGGAGGCGCTGGAGCTGGTGACTCTGCCACTGGAGTTGTTTCTACTGGAGGTTCTGGAGCTGCTGGAGGTGCTGGCGCTGGTGGCGCTGGAGCTGGAGGTTCTGGAGCTGCGGGTGCTGGCACTGGAGGTTCTGGAGCTGCTGGAGGTGCTGGCGCTGGTGGCGCTGGCGCTGGAGGTACTCGCGCTGGTGGCGCTGGAGCTGGAGGTTCTGGAGCTGCTGAGGGTGCTGGCGCTGAGGGTTCTGAGTCTGCTGTTGCGCGGCTTCCTTGGAGTAGCCGCCTTCGTCCGCGTGTGCCTCTCACCTCATAGCAGCTGCACGACTGGTACGGTCGCCGTCAGGGTCGCGCTTCTGGAGCTCGGGGTTCTGCCGCTGGAGGTACTTCTGCTGTCGTCACTGGAGCTGGGAGTGGTGCTGACCCGGAGGTGCTCGTACTGGAGGTACTGGAGCTGCTGGGGCTGGAGGTGCTGAGTCTGAGGGTGCTGCTACAGGAGGCACTGAGGCTGGAGACCCTGGGACTGGAGGTGCCGGTTCTGGGGGTGCTGCTGTTGGTGGAGCTGGTCCTGGAGGAGCTGGCGCTGGAGGTTCTGTAGCTGCTGGTGGTACTGCCGCTGGTGGCGCTGGAGCTGGAGGCTCTGGAGCTGCTGAGGGTGCTGGCGCTGGAGGTTCTGGAGCTGCTGGAGGTACTGGAGCTGCTGGTGCTGGTGTCACTGCACAACCGCGCCTGTTCTTCGCTCCACCGTCTCCGTCGTCTCAGCCACCGCCTGACTCTGTGCTTCGCCAGGTTCTTAGTCTCCCTTCGTCTACTGGTCTTCCGTTGCAGCCTGGTTCACCGCTGCCTGCTCCTTCTCCTTACACTGAGCAGCTAGGGAGTCTTACTGAGCGTCGTGAGCCTGCGTCGCGTCCTGTCTCGCCTGTCTGTTCTGGTCGTTCCGGTCGTCGTGTTCCTCGTCCGCGTCTGCCGGCTGTCCCCGACACCCACCTCGTAGTCCGTCGTCTTTCCTCTCCTCCACAGCGTGTGCCTCTGCCGTCCCCTCCTGCGTCTTCTCTGCCTGTCGTTGCGGACCCCGAGTCTGACCGGTTTCGTGCTGAGCACCCTACTGTCACGCGTCTGCTAGCCACTGTTGTCACTGACCCGTCGTTTGAGTCTGCTGCTACGTCTGCCTTAGTTGCTGAGCTTGTTGACTTTGCTGCTGCCTGTCGTCTAGACTACGCCGCTAGTCTTGTTGCTGAGTCTGAGTCTGTCTGTCCTCCGTCCGTCGGGGGTGAGTGTGCTCTTGGCATGGACGTCCTTGAGGACAGGCAGGAGGACCTTGAGTGTCTTGCAGCCGCTGCGCCTCATCTCGTGTCCATGCTGCTTGCCCCTGAGGGAGACCCGGATGCTCCAGACATCCCGACCCCGCGCTCTTACGCTGAGGCGATCGCGGGTGAGTACTCCTCTCAGTGGCAGACAGCCATGGACGCAGAGATGGCATCCTGGAAGTCCACAGGCACCTACGTCGACGAGGTTCCCCCACCTGGGGCGAACATCGTCAGTGGCATGTGGATTTTCAGGGTGAAGCGGCCGCCAGGTTCTCCGCCTGCCTTCAAGGCGCGTTACGTTGCACGAGGTTTCAGTCAGCGAGAGGGAGTAGACTTCTTCCAGACCTTCTCCCCCACCCCGAAGATGACCACTCTTCGGGTGCTGCTGCACGTTGCCGCTCAGCGTGACTATGAGCTTCACTCTCTTGACTTCAGCACACCCTTCTTACAGGGCAGCCTGCACGAGGAGATCTGGCTGCGCCGCCCACCTGGCTTCACTGGGTCGTTCCCTCCTGGTACCCAGTGGAGCCTCAGGCGGCCGGTCTACGGTCTCCGCCAGGCGCCACGTGAGTGGCACGACACACTGAGGACGACACTTGCGGCTCTTGGGTTTGCTCCGTCGACTGCTGACCCGTCGCTGTTTCTACGCACCGACACTTCGCTGCCGCCGTTCTACATCCTCGTGTACGTCGACGACTTGGTCTTTGCCACTGCTGACACGGAGGCTCTCGCCCTGGTGAAGTCGGAGCTGCAGAAGAGACACACGTGCACTCACCTGGGTGAGCTGACAAGCTATCTTGGCTTGCGGATCACCCGGGACAGAGCACGCCGCACCATCACACTGACTCAGTCACACATGGTGCAGCAGGTCCTTCAGCGCTTCGGCTTCACCTGGTCCTCGGCACAGCACACTCCTCTAGCTACAGGTCACTCGCTCTTAGCTCCACCTTCGGACGAGTGCGTAGAGCCGAGTGGTCCTTACCCAGAGCTAGTGGGCTGCCTCATGTACCTGATGACCTGCACTCGTCCTGACCTTGCGTACCCTCTTGGCCTTCTGGCTCGCTACGTGGCTCCTGGTCGGCACCGAAAGGTGCACATGGATGCTGCTAAGAGGGTACTACGCTACTTGTGCAGTACATCGGGCATGGGGCTCGTGCTTGGAGGACGGAGCGACGTTGTCCTCACTGGCCACTCAGACGCTTCTTGGGTTGACGACCAGGCTACGCAGCGGTCGTCACAGGGTTACACCTTCAGCCTTGGCTCTGGTTCGGTTTCTTGGCGTTCTACACGCTCGTCTTCAGTTCTCAGCTCCAGTTGTGAGGCTGAGATCTACGCCACAGCCATGGCTGCACAGGAGTTGTGCTGGCTCACCTACCTGCTGACCGACTTGGGAGAGCGGCCTCGTTCTCCTCCAGTGCTGTACGTCGACAACAAGGCAGCCATTGCCTTGTGTGAGGAGCACAGACTGGAGCACAGAACGAAGCACATCGCTCTGCGTTATTTCCTGGCTCGAGAGTTGCAGCAGCGTGGTCAGCTTCGTCTGCGTCACATGGCCACTCGGGCCAACACTGCTGATATATTCACCAAGGCGCTTCAGTCTGGTGATCATCAGCGTTTCTGCACTATGCTAGGCCTTGTGCCCACTTTTCCTCACTTGATGTAGGCTTTGCTTGTACTGTGATCTACATATATATACCTGCATGCTTGCTTTGCTAGGTAGAGATCACTGTGCTGTTTGTGTTGCATATATGCTTCTGCATGTGAACTGGCTGTGTGAGCCTTTGCTTGTGCTCAGAGTGTGTGGTGACGTTGTGATCCACCCTGAGCTTGCTTTGCCTCTCTTGACTGGTCTTGTGACCCCTTGCTCTCCCCCACTTTGCCTATGGGGGTGTGTCAAAGTATATGCTGTAGTGGGGTAGCCAATATGGGGCACAGCCCCTGTTAGGGTTTCATACTTGTACCCACCTTCTTCATAGTTCATTCATTCCTGTCTCTTGATTCTGACAACTGAAAGGTGTCAACCGATCTTGAGATTTATAAAAGGGAGATGACATGCCTTGGAAAAAGAAAAGGCAATCTGAGTGTTGTAACTTCTGCTTCATTGCTACGTGAGTGACCCTGGTGCTCTGTAAAACTTGCCCACTACCAACTAAACATCTTAGTTACTTTCACAATGCCCGGTTGGGTACAGTACCATAAGAAGGGGTAGATAAAACCCATAGAGGCCTGGCATCAACAATTGCTATGAACACAAGAGTGTGTGTGTGTACTACAACCGACGTCCTAAATCCTGATGGCAATGCCCACCAGAATTCTAACACCGGAACTAACGTGCGAATGCTTCTTTCACATGTACGGTATGTGCGCCTGGAGGGGACGCCTTCATGTGCAGCTATGGTCTGGCAAGAATTAGCATACCGCCTACGAACCTACACGAGTATCATGTGAGTTGCAACATATGAGCTGCACGGTGCTATACACGGTGCCCTCCACCACGGCGCTGTCTTAATTGAACGCTCTGGTTCTTCATCAGCCAATTCGAGACTTCGCCACGCATGTAAAACCCCTTGCGCTGGACGCTGAGCCAAGTGGGGTATATCGTCACGCAGTGCGCCACTGAGCCCAGCAGGAACGTGCCAGTGTTCGGCCGCCACCTGGCCAGGCTCTGAATGCGGTTCTGCAGCCGTTCCGAGTACCGCTTGAGCGCATCACGCGCTGCTGCCGAGCACGTGGCGTTGCCATTCTTGCGCCGCGGCTGCTTCACCCCCTTGGGAACGTACCCTGCCGTGCCTCCGGACGGCCGAAGCTCGTCCAGGCACAGGAGGACGTTGGAGGAGGACGCATTGGATGCCTTGTTTGCGGAGTTAAGGATATCCATTGCTGTATAGTCGTTGATAGAGTTGATTATGAATACGGGTGTTGACACAAACTCCAGGTTGTTCTGCGGGAAGAAGCACCTCCACTGAGTCACCTTGCGGTTTGCTGGGGATAAGGGTTGGGAGGCAGAGAGAGAGAGAGAGAGAGAGAGAGAGAGAGAGGGAAAGGGAGACCATGAGCAAAAAGGGTTGGGGGGGGGGAGTGTTGGAGAGGAAACAAGCAGAACCGAGTGAGAGGCTTAGTGAGAAAGAGAGAAGAGAAGTGTGGAGAGAGAGGGTGAGAAAGAAGGAAGAAACGAGGCGAGATTGTAATGGGTCGATAGGAAGCGAGCCACATACAGTGGCAGAGCCAGAGGGCCCTGTGTGAACGTGCTCATGTGTAACGTGCTCTGTGCATGTGATGTGTTGTTCATGTGATGTGCATGTGCTCTGCACGCGGGTGCGTGCACGGCAGCAGGCGGCCTCACCCTTAATACAGTCGGCGTCATACTGCGCCTGGTGGATGTCCACCAGCTTCTGTGCAATGGTGCGGAACGCAGGGGTGCCGTTCTCGTCCCACCCATCTGATCCCGGGTCATCACATGGGGGGGTTGGGGTGGGGTAATGGCGGAGCCGGGGGTACACGCTGGAGGTCAGACCGAGTGGAAGAGCCCTTTACGGATGAGCGCTTGTGCGGATGCATCTACGTTTGAGGATGAGACGTTGAGGCGATTCAGAGTTGAAGATGAGTGTTATTGTAAGGACGAATGGAACGCTTCTGAGCCGCGAGAGAGACTACCCGGTGGTGCGCACCGAGGGGAGAGGGAGCAGGAGAGCGAGAGAGCGAGGGAGCGAAGGAGCGAGGGGGGGAGGGAGCGAGGAAGGGAGAGAGAGCGCGAGAGAGGACGAGAGCGAGGGAGGGAGCGAGGGATGGAGGGAGCGAGAGAGCGAAAGAGCAAGAGAGCGAGGGAAGGGACGAGAGAGCGAGGGAGCGAGGACGCACCGAGGAAGAAGCCAGCGTCCATGAGGCACTTGGTGCTGGCGGCCGGCACTGCCGCCGCCACGTCATCGCACGACGTGGACACCGCCTGCGCTCCCGCGGAGCACCCAGTCAGCAGGACGCGCTTCGCGGTCGCCATGCCTCGCTTAGCCAGGTCTGCGGGGCAGCAGTAGAGGGCATCACATAAGTACATAAATATAGACATACGGTACACATACCTGAGGGGAAGGAGAGCAAGAGGAAGCGGAAGGGGGGAGGGGGAGGGGGAGGGGGAGGGGGAGGAGGAGGAGGGGGAGGAGGAGGAGGAGGAGGAGGAGGAGGAGGAGGAGGAGGAGGAGGAGGAGGAGGAGGAGGAGGAGGAGGAGGAGGAGGAGGAGGAGGAGGAGGAGGAGGAGGAGGAGGAGGAGGATGAGGAGGAGGGACTCAAGAGGAGGAGAAGCACGAGGGGAGCAGAAGGAGCAGCACGGACCTGCGACGATGGTTTTGAGGATGCGGCGGCCGTCCAGGTGGATGGTGGTGGAGGCGTTTACTTTGACGGCGCCCGCCGTGCCGGCGTACCCGCCGCCGTCGCAGTAGACGACCATGACTGTGTTCCAGTTGTAGTAGTCGGGGTTCTGCACCTCGCTGCTGCTCAGCAGCCCCGTGAACTGGCTGTTCAAGTTCCGCATCTGCCGCCATGCGTCGTCGTCGCCATGCGCAAGAGGAGTGAAGGGAAGAGAATGAGCCGTGGGAAACAGAAGGCGGGGCGAGTCGGGGAAGACGGAGAAGATCGAGAACCGGAAGACAGAAGAAGGAAGAAGGAGAACCGGAAGCATAGACAGGCAGGCATAGGCAGGCGTAGGCAGGCAGCATGCTCTTGGCTGTTTGCGCATCACATATTGCGCGTTGGGCATTGCATGTTGCGGGCTGCCCGTTGCGCGCTGCGCGTTGCGTGCTCACCACGCGCACGAACGAGGCGCTACTGGGTTCGGGCCAGAACTTGCTGGAGCCCAGCGGCGTCGTGGCGCGCTGCGCGCACTCCGCCTTGCTCGTGCACCACGCGCCGCCTTGCAAGTAAACCAGCCAGTTGTTGACGCCGGAGCCATAGCCGTCGCGGAGAAAGTAGGCGGGAGGACTGGCGGTGATGGGGGATGATGGGGCGAGAAGGAGGCCAGAGCCGACGAGACAGGGCGTTGCGCGTTTCGGTGAGTCGGAGCGCTTACGCATTGGATCTACTTGCTGGAACGCAAAAATAGGTGGGGTCCGTTCCGGTAATGCAAAAATACTTCTCGCAATGTTCGTGGCGCACATTCTTTTTGGCACACACATTCACACTGAATATTCGAGGGTATGCGGCAGCTGTGGCCTACTTGGGTGAATGCATTGATCTGATCGCTCAAAACAGCCGCTCATAGATCCAGTTGGTTTACTGAAAGACTATCTTAGGAACCCGTTCTCCAAGTGCTCGGTATCACCTCCGTGCACTGAACTCACCTGCCATCTAGGCATTTGGGGTCCTGCGCGCTTCCTCCCAGCTTCACCAGCCGCAGACTAGCGGGTCTAGAGGCGGCCTGCGCTACGCACGCGCTTATTATAACGATCAGGGCCGTGCTCAGCGTGAGCGCAATAGCCCGTCTCGCCATGGCTTGGTGCCTTCTACGCGTCGTTGAAGTTACGTGGTTGTCTTGAGGATGAAAGAATTAAGTGCCGTACGGAAAAGCAGATGGCAACGGCTGAAACATCAAGTTACGTGGTTGTCTTGAGGCGTGTGGAAAATGGATCCGGAACAACGGATTGATTGATGTGACCAGCCAAGCCACAACCAAGGCTGCTTGAGGGTGGAGAGGAGAGAGGGTGGGAAACGAATAGCTAAACCGTCAAGACGCGAGAGGAAAAAGTCGAGCCGTACAATTTGCAGAAAATGTTTTGGGTCGAATTCGCGACGCGCCAGTTTTAGTCCTAGTGTGCCATCCGGTGGGCGACTCCGACAGAAACCGACACACATAGCGAACCCCGAAAGGTCCGCGTTTCGTCAGACGCAAAACTCATCGACCATAATATGCAGTACGCTAGCTGGTATATTAGCATGACTCGAATATACTGGCATAATAAGTTACAAATTACAGTGTGACAAGTCACCCACATATCATTATGTTCATAAGAATATCCAGCCTAGGGAATCTGCATGATCTTAATAACAGCAGACCCTGCAATGCGGTGCACCACCACAGCGGTATCGCCAGAAGTGATGAGTCCACGGGCCTTAGCCTTGTCCAAGGAGGTCGATATGATGTCCAAGACAGTATCAGAGTCAGTGGATCGCGCCCCTCCCTCTGCCAGAATCGGCACAAGCCCTCTGACCAGCAGCGCATGGCGAGCAGGAGCAGCATCACTGGGCTCCACAAAGAGCTCGAGGGAGTCGGTGGGTTCGAGCACAGGCACAGCCACGGACAGGATAGGCATGTAGGGCCGGTACTTGGCCACAAGCCCTGCTGTGCTTCCACTGCGTGTCAACACCACTATCAGCTTCGCAGCCACCTGCGCCCAGCAGCAAATGCAAAACCCAGTCAGCGGCTCTTCAGCTCCAAAGAGGAAAAACAACGAACGGAAACAGAAGAAAACCAGCAATGCACTGACATTACGGCAGGGACGGACGGTATACTGCCAAATTCAAAGACTCTGCCCCACAGCGCATGCACTTACGCTGTTGGCAGTGCGCACAGCAGAGGACGCCAGGCTCTCCACAGGGCTGAGCGGCAGGCGCGCAGCAGCCATAACCGTCTTAAACGACGACTCGTAATCCAGCCCCGCCTCTGCTGTGCGGCAAATGGCAGCCATCACAGATACCGCCTCCACAGGATACTTCCCAGCGGCTGTTTCCCCCGACAGCATGACTGCGTCTGTGCCGTCGATGACAGCGTTGGCCACGTCTGTGCACTCTGCCCTGGTGGGGCGCGGGGACTTGACCATCGACTCTAGCATCTGCGTGGCTGTGATCACAGGCTTGCCTGGTGGGAGGGAGGAGACGGGCAGGGAGCAGCACGGAGGGAGACAAGAAGGAGTTGAGCAGTGGCGTGGGAGCAGGAGATTAGCATGCGGAAGGGACAGGCAATATGGGCAGTTGACGCACACATGCTGGACTAGATGCTGTCTGTTTCAGTAACACGGAAATGCCGTGCAGGTAGGTGGTCCCTTGGGGCCTGTGTGTGAGTGCAGCTACTCTAGAATAAACAAGCGAGAGCACATGTGAGAGTGAGAGAGGGGGGGCTGACCTGCATCGTTGCACTTGTGGATCATCATTTTCTGAGCGAGAAAGATCTTCTCAATGGGAATTTCCATGCCCAGGTCCCCTCGCGCCACCATGATGCCGTCCGACTCCCTCAGAATGTCATCAAAGTTGACCAGCCCCTCCTGGTTCTCCACCTGTTGGGAGAGTTCAAGACACAACATACAGGGCAACAAGAGCCGAAGGTACCATGAGCTTACAAGAAGTTTCAAGCCACTCTCTAGCAGGATACTATCAGAGTTACCCAGCCTCTCCTGGCTAACTCTCAAGCTGCCCATGCACCGACACAGGCAAAGGGGTTTCCAACAAACCACACTTGCAAGGTCTACACGCGCGCATGTGCACGCACGCATATACCAGTGCAAGCATATCCTTGCGCTTGTGCATGTGCTTGTTTTCGCATGCGCTTGCACTTGTGCTTGTGCGCCCCACATCCACAAAGAGCAACAGCAGCAGCAGCAGGAGCAGGCCAGGGGAACATGCCTTGGAGATGATCTTGGTGCGCTCGCAGAGCTTGGCCCCCAGCATCTTGCGGATGATGCGCAGGTCGGAGCCCTTGCGCACAAAGGACGCAGCAATGAAGTCAATGCCGTTGGGCACGCCCCACCCCATGATGTCCGTCTCGTCCTTGTCTGTCACTGTCGGCAGGTCCACTATTACTCCTGGCAGGTTCACGTTCTTGCGCTCGCCTAGCATTGCCGTGTTCTCACACCGGCATGTCACCGTGCTGCATGCACACACCATGCACCGCACACAACCGCCATGCATCATGCACGCACCCCATATCAAACACCATGCACCAACCGCCAAGTAGCAAGCAAGCACAAAGCACCAATCATCAAAAGTGGGACCCATCACCACGCACCACCAGAGTAACACGGATGTTATTCCAACAGCCATACCCCAACACGTCCACCCTCCCCACCACATGAGCAATGCAGCAATGCAGCCAACCATGCAGAATGAGAACGGGAGGAGTTAGACGCAGATAATCTACAAAAACAGTAAACGCGCAACGGTAAATACGAAACGATCAATGCGCATACACGGAGACATAAAATCGAGGAAGGTAAGGAGTGGAATGGAATGGCACGGTGTGGAAAGGGTGCCTTGGGGACGGGAGAGGGGTGTGTCAAAACTCCGCGACGAACGCAGCACTGAAATCTGCAGGCACACGGACTTTCGCACACGCACGCACGCACCCTGCGTCCGGGTCGCACGCGAGCACGTTGAGCGTGATGCTGCCATCGGCGCAGAGAATCTGCCCTCCAGGGCGCACGTGCTTGGCGAGGCTCTTGTAGCTCATGGCGATGGTGGTGGCGTCGCCTTGAATGCTGTAGTCCGTGGTCACCGTGATCGTCTGCCCCTTCTCCAGCTGCACCGCCTTGCCGTCCTGAAGCATGCCCGTGCGGATCTCCGGCCCCTGCGCCGGCACGCCCGGCGCGCGATTATAACGCGCGAGTGCGGAGAGGAGAGAGGGGGGGGGGGGGAGGGAGGAAGGGGCCGGTGGAGAGTCGGGGGGAGGGAGGGAGGGGAATGGGGGGAGGGAAGGATGTGAGGCGGAGGGTGACGTAAAATGCGGGTACTTCGCCGCTTGGATAGAGAAAAAATGAAGCATTTTGTTACGTTCTTAAGATCGTCACAGAGTGTCGTGTGGAAAGATAATGTGAAAGAGCGCACCTTGGTATCGAGCAGCACGGCGCAGAGAATGCCAGTGTTCCCCATGGCTGCCCGAAGGTTATCCAGCGTCTCTTGATGATAATCGTGCGATCCGTGGGAGAAGTTGAATCGCGCCACGTTCATGCCGGCGCGTAGCAGCCGTTCGATCACGTCCACGCTGCGAGACATTGGCCCTAATGTGCACACGATCTTCGTCTTGCACGCGCGCGACGCGCGATCAAGATCCGGCGGCGGTTGGGGCGTGGGAGGCGGGGCTTCCATGTCGACGTCTCCGGTGTGCGCGGGCATGTCGAAAACGTCGAGATCCTCGATTTCTGACACGTCGATCTTGCCGCGCATAGACCGCTGATATTCCAGCTTCGAGCGCAGCTTGCGCGACCATTTCTGCGCCTTCACCCTCCGCGAAGCTTCCATATGCTCCGCGGAGCTCACCAGCCGCGCCCATTCGCGCCGTTCTTTGCGCTCCCGGCGCCGCTTCTCACCCTCCCAGTCGTACTCGTCGTCGTCGCCGTCGCCGTCGCCCAATGATCGCATCATGGGCACCTCCATTCCGTTTATCATGCAGTGCAACACCGCTTGCCTGCTCGCCCGCTAGCCTAGTCCGTGAGTGTATGTGAGCTCTTCGTCTCTCCCCACAAAAGAACAGAACAGGATCAAAGCAGAGTAGCGGCAAAATGTTATTTGAAAGGAAGAATTGAGAGTGCGAGATATTTCCCCCTTTTTCCTGCTTTTGATATGAAAGGACAGACTGGGTAGGTGATGGGGTCGGTGGAACTGGGCACTGCACGACGGGTAACCCGGATCGCGAAACATGGCGAGACAGCCCAGGGGGCAAATCCAAGGATGGAGAGAGGAAGTGCGGTGAAACAACGCAAAAGCGAATGGGCGTGTGGGCATTCAAGGTCGAGCTGCGTCCGGATTCGCCAAAAATTGCGAGTACTGTTCTGTTGGTGCGGAGGCGCGGGGTAAGATGCTCCAATCCAGCAAGAGATTTTTTCTGTCCTCCGATAAAGCAGGACTCCGTCAAAGAGCAGAATGAATAAAGAAACCATACCTAATAATTTGCAACCTACCACCTCTAACTCCATGCATTTCCACTTCCGAGGTCAAACGTTTCTTGATCAGAAGCCACAAAGCAGTACACAACCCCCCAACCCCAGTTCTACACTGCTACTTTTCTTAAGCAGCAAGCTGGACACACAGAATTTGCTGGAAAGAGTTGGCATCGATCTCGAACCATGTGCTTATCATCAAGAATTTGATTACAATGTATGAAACAAGCACAAACGCATAAAACACCACCATTGCCAGCAGCATCCAGAAAAGCACCTCTCCATCCGCCACCACAATCCCTGCAGCAGCAGTTCGGCACATACCACACCACCTCCAAAAACACTGCTCCCCGGCCACCATTCCTCAGCTGACTTAAGCGGCCTTCTCCATCTTGAGCGACCCGGCAGCCTGTCCGCGGAGCCGACCAGTACGCCTGGCAGCAATGAGACCAACCTTCTGCCCGGCAGGGGCATCGCGGCGCACAGTGGACGCGTGACCAATATGCTGGTGGTTACCACCACCGTGGGGATGCTCCACGGGGTTCATGGCCACACCACGCACCTTAGGCCACGAGTTGCGCTTCACGCGGTACTTGTGGTACGCGTTACCGGCCTTGAGCATCGGCTTCTCAGTACGACCACCGCCCGCGACCTGGCCCACCATGCCACGGCAAGACGAGGGGATAACCTTCTTGGAGCCAGACGGGAGCTTCACGCGGGTGGTGCCGTTGTCAGGGTTGTGCGACACGACGATCGCGTAATCCCCGGACGCGCGGGCAATGGCGCCGCGGTCACCGACGTGCTGCTCGAGGTTGCAGCAGACGGTACCCTCGGGCATGGCGCGCACGGGCAGCACGTTCCCGATGCTGAGCGTGGCCTTCTTGCCGCAGTACACGAACTGCCCCGTGTACATGCCCTCCGCCGCCACCATTAGCTCCTTCTGGTGCTTGAAACGGAACGGGTGGCGGAACTGCACCTGTAGCGGGGATAGGCGGGAATGCATGTACACATCACAGAAGGTGTGCGGAGGAGGTGAGTGAGGGGAGTGGGAACAAGCGTAGATGACTGGAGTGAGAGATCGGAAGGATCGAAAACAACGTGCTGTGCTGTTTCCATATGCGCAAGAGCACGCTTGTACCCTAGCGCACACAAGATCGACGCTCATGAGGGACGACTTACCCTAGCGAGGGGAGCACCGCGGCCCGAGTCGTGGAGGATCTCGGTGACGACGCCCTTGATGTAGCCGTTACGCTCCGAATAGTCCAGAGACCGGAACCGAGCCGCACCCTTGCGTTTGTGCGTGTGCGACACGAAGATGGAACCCGCACCCTTACGCTGTGCGCGAATAACGCGACCCATCGCGACTGGCTGTGCAGGAGTTTACGAGCCAAACGGTCCCTTCCTGCAATCCAGGAAGCAGGACGAGAGAGACGGATCCGGGAAGGAGCACGAGAGACGGAGGAGGTGCGGGGGAGAGGGGAACGGCAGGGACAGCGGGTAAGGCGACGTATGATGTTAGCATTCCGCAACCCGTGCAACGACGGTCTATAAGGATTTCTTGAAAAGAAAAGTTTGAGATGTAAAACCTGCCTACATAGCCGATACACTTCATGAACAATTGGTCGATCAAGACTTAGCAACTTCTCTAACCTAACCCCGCTACTGGCTCGTAATCTTCCGCGTCTCGTCTCCAGTCCCGCTCAATACGCGGGCGCTTCTCGCGACAGCACCCAACAGCACCTCAAGCTGCGTTTTCTAGATATTAATTACCTCTGCTCTGCCCTAAGACGTCACAATCTCCTGCCGGCGCTGCCTACTATCCTTCCTAGCTTGATTCACGGTGCTGCCTGACACGTGGCACCTACTCCCCCTACCCGAATCCTGCTTACCTCTGGTCGAGTTGGGAAAAGAACGCCCTAGTAGGCGGTGGGGGACTTGAACCTTGCTGCCCCCCTGCAGCCATAGCTCGTTCAGCGAAGGCGCAAGGCACAGGCATCCCTTCGTCAACAGGCTTGTTGATGTAGGCGAAATCAAACACTTTCGTCATTCGCGAATTTGCTTGGTGTCTGGTTTGGTGGTGAACCACCTTGATATCCTCCTTAGAATGACATTCTCTTACCGAGTATATACAATACACTGCAGCCGTAAATAAATTTCCCAGCAGAAACAATCTTGGGACACCACTAACAACACAAAAGACAGAATAGAATTTTAAATACCAATTAATTGAACAGTCACACTGTTTTTTTTTTAGCTAGTTTACCATATCTATGTATGATATGATCGCTGCTGATGCATGAGAAGCACCCAATTCGAAACTCTACCATAAATAGGCAAATAAATGACGAGTTCGAATTAGCGTCTTGTAGGTGCAACGAGGTGGCCTTCTGTACGCGTCAAAGTAGATCCCAATGCCCACAAACCACCCATTCCTGAACTTCCTGCCAGAAGCACTCGTCCATGCATGCCAGTGCAATTCGTCTCATGGCCTTCCTCGCACCGCCAAGGGCACCAGTCTCCCTCCCCTCGTCCGCCTTACCTCACGCCAAACCGTGTCAGTCTAAACAGGTGAAATTCCCAAGGTCTGCCAAACCAGTGCGGTGTTTAGCCGGCGGCGAGCAGCCGTCAAGCGGCAATGGCAGCTTGACCGGTCGCTCGGGGAATGTCGGGAACCCTAATCTCGCCGGCACCGACTCGTCCACTAGCGGTCCGTCCAATGGCGCGTCGTCAGCTTCGTCCTCGAAGCCGGCCGCGGCGCCGTCGGCGGGCGCCGCCGCTGCGCTGCGCGCATTGGACGCGCAGCTGCTGGAGCTGGCACGGGAGGAGCGGCAAAAGCGCGGGATAGGGATGGGGAGTGGGGGAAGCGATGGCGCAAGGAGAGAGGGCGCGGCTGGGCCGGCCATTTCAGGGCCCAGTAGCAGCAACGAGAAGCCAGGTAGGCTGTGACACGCACAGGGCTGGGTGCGCCACGGCAGAGGCTGAGCTAAGAGGTGGAGGGGCGCAGGCAGGAATGGCAGGGACATGGGTGAATGCGCATGGGATTTGCAAATGCGCATTGCGCGCGCAGTGCAACCTGCTACTTGCTCTGCTTTACATGCCCTCTATGCATTCCATGCCCACATACCACACCCCCCTCTGCCCACGCGATCACCACCCCAGCCCCCTCACCACAGATTCTCCTCCCCCCGGCCCCCCCCCACCGCACTCCCCCTTCTCCCTTTTGTCTTCTTCCCCACCCCACCTCTCCCCCCCTCAACTCGTCCCCAAGGGCAGCCTTGCAAGTGGGGCGAATGGCGAGTGCGGAGGGATGGCCGGAATTTGACACGCCATTCCTAGCCTACTCCGGCGGTGCCCTACTGCTCTTCACCCTCCTCTCCAACCTTGTCTTTGCCTGGGGCTCCAAGACCTTCGCCCCCCCTGCTGCTCTCCTAGACTCCTCCTCCCCCTCTGAAGCTGCTACTGCCGCCCAGCCGCGGTCTCAGATGGCAAGGTTGATCCAGGAGAAGCTGCGGAGAGGTGCGGAGCTGAATGGCTATGTGAGGGTGGTTGAGGCGCCACCGTTACTGGAAGAGTGAGGATGGTGTGAGTGCGTGTAGAGCAGGGGTGGGGAGGGATGGGGGTGTAAAAGATTTACCCTATAGGGTTGTGCTGGCTTGCTGGTTGCTTTTCGCTTGTGTAGGAGAAGACATTACTATTATGACTACCACCGCTGCTTTGACAGAGAATGGTACCGTTACGGTTGGAGCTCAATGTAACTTTTCACTCACAAAGAAACAACAAAAAGAAGCTTTAGGAAATCATCCACATCAACATATTTATTGCACACCCGTCCCGTGTGTCAACCAATGAGGACCGTGCACCAATGCTAGCCTACAAAGGCTAGTATACACACGAGCCATGCATCCAATCCAACCCTCCCTGCCATGTCACTCGGCCTTGACAATCTTGGAGTAGGCGGCAAAGAAGTCTAGCTCCCCGCGTGCTATCTTGCGCAGGTGCGCGGCTGTCTGCTCGCCCGTGTCCTCCACCAGCGATGAGAACTGCCCCTCAGGACTGTCCAGCAGCGCTGCTGGCGTGTCATACTCCATCACCTGCATGGGAGGGGGCGGAGGGGGGAAGGGGAGAGGTAGAAGCGCAGGGAGGTGGGAAAGGGAGGGTTTCTTGAGCTGTCTCGAGAAGGGAACTGTCTAGAAGCTGGTGTGTTATATTCCATGATCTGGAGGGGTGGGGGATGGGAAATGGAGCATCAACAGAGGGTGGTGATATCACAGGCGTGCGAGCAGCAGCATGGAGTTGGGATTCGCCATGGGTGAGCGTGATGATAGCTCCTGACGGAAGCACAAGGATGCAGGAGTGGTGGCATGGCATGGCATGGCATGGCATGGCATGGCATGGCATGGCATGGCATGGCATGGCATGGCACGCACCTCGCCATGGCTGAGCACGAGGATGCGAGAGGCGTCGATGACGGTGTTAATGCGATGCGCAATGATGAGCATCGTGCTGTCCTGCATGTGCGTGCGGATGGTGGCCTGCACACAGCAAGGATGCGGGGAAGGGGGAAGGGACAGAAGGGAGTAAGGGAGAGGTGCGAGGGGTGTGCGGGTGGGAGAAGTGAGCATTTGGTAGGTTTGTGATGGTAATGCAGTGTGCAGGTGGAACAAACAGGGACGTTGTCATGGCACAGGAACATACAAAAGTGGTGGCATGGGATGACATGGCGTTAGTGCAAGACATCAACACGTGGAGTGTGTATTAAGGCAGGCAGGAGCGCACCTGAATGAGGCGATCAGTATCAAAGTCAACGCTGCTAGTGGCCTCATCCATGATCATGATGCGGTTCTTGCGCAGCAACACACGCGCCTGGGGGGGAGAGAGAGAGAGGGGGAGATGAGTGGGGGAGGGGAAAGGAGAGGGGTTTCGAGAGGTCTCGAAACTTAAAGTTGACGTTGCTAGTGGCCTCGTCCTTGATCATAATACAATTCTTCCGCAGTATCACACGCGCCTGGGGAAGAGGGGCGAGTTGTCACGAGCAGAGCGCGGGCAGGGCAGGGAGGAGAGAAGAGGGGTGCGCACACATGGCAGGCAGAGAAAGCGGATGTGAGAGGGGAGATGAGAGTGGGAAACGGGCAAGATACGATTACATGAGATGCGATGGCAGAAGAGGAGATGACAGGAGGTGAGAAAGACAGGCAGGTGGACAGGCATTAATGTATACACCTGGTGGTGTGACTCACGAGGCACAGCAGCTGTCTTTCTCCCACGGAGAAGTTCTCTCCATACTCCGCCACTGATGCTTCCAGCTTCCCTGTCAGCGCCCCCACCTGCCCATGCGCGCACCACACAGCAACAGCAGCAGCAGCAGCAGAAGCAGTAACAGAGATACAGACACCACACCCACGGGAAAACATTAGGACACGGAGATTGACACAGAGCTGCCTTTCAGCAGCAGGCATTTCCATACTCCACCCCTTGCCCCATCCCTACCCTGCTCTACTCTGCTCGGCATACTTTTCTCTCTAGAAAACCTTCGCTTCGATTCCTATACAAAAAACGATCCAAGCCACGCACACCACGCTCTCCCCCTCTCCCGCACCCTCTCTCCCCGCCCACCTTATCCTTGAGATGTGCGTGGCTGAGCGACGTCCACACATCATCGTCCGAGTGGCAGTTGAACGGGTCCAGGTTACTCCGCACAGTCCCGCTGAACAGCACGGGGTCCTGAGGGATGATGGAGAGTCTGGAGCGCAGCTGCGTGAGGCCCATGCCTGCGATGTCCGTGCCGTCTATCAGGATTCGCCCCTCCGTGGGCTCGATCAGGCGGAACAGGCACAGCATGAGCGAGCTTTTTCCGGAGCCTGTTCGGCCGACGATGCCCACACGCTCGCCCCCTTGGATGGAGACAGACACCTGGAGAAGGGGTGGGACGGAGAGGGAGGGGGAGAGATTTCTTAGATTTACTTGAAGGCCTTACTTAGATACTTGGATTAAGACTTCCAGAGAGGTGGGTTAGAGAGGGGGGATTAGGAGGAGTGGGAAGGGAAGGCAGGGAGCGGAGGAGTGAGGGTTGACGAGTGGAGCAGAGGCGACTTTCTTTATTTGTTTGTATTCTCAAAGTGATACGGCAAGTGCTTCTATATGATGCATCGGCACCCCCCCCTCCCCCTTGACACCACCAGCACTGCTCCACTCCTCCCTGTTCTTCCTTACGCAAGGGCCAGACAAGACGAGACTCACGTTCTTGAGCACGAGGGGCAGGTTGGGGCGGTAGCGCATGGAGATCTCCTCCACTTGAATCTCTCCCTTACCCGGCCACTCGGGGCCCGGATCCGCGTCCTTGATCACTGCTGGCGCCTGCTTGCCATGCACACACACGTTCAGGACGGTCATGAATGAGAGACATGCACGACAGCACACACACGTTCAGATTAGTGGAAATTTAAAGCACCAGAGTGTTCGTGCACATGCACGCAGGCAGAGACATGTAAAAGGATGGTGCGTGCGGGAAATGGCTAGATAAGTGTGTGCATGGCTATGTCGTGTGTGTGAGAGGTAAGGTTAAACAAGACGGAAACGACTAGGAGTGAGCGTGCATGAAGCGACAAAATCATGCTGCAATCACCTATTCCATATTCCACCACCTGCGATCGAGTATCTCTAACATCAAATCAATCCCCACTCAACCCCCCATTCCTCCTCGTCCTCATCCTTCTCACCCTAAGACTCACACTCTCGAACCCAGATCCTTCACCCCACACCACACCCCCCCACCCTCCAACCCACATTCCTCCCCAAGCCATGTCTTCAACCATCCCCCCCACCAAGCCACCCACCTCATGGTCGATCTTATCACGGTACTCCAGGATGCGCTCCACGCCCCTCACCCTCACCCTTGACCACCACCTCCACCCCTCAACCCCCCCACCCTGCACCCCACATTCCTCCCTAACCCCTCACATCACCCCAAGCCACCCACCTCATGGTCGATCTTATCACGGTACTCCAGGATGCGCTCCACGCCGTTCATCTGGTTCTCCGTGTCGGTCATCTGTCGCACCAGCATGCCCAGTGCTGCCGTGATCTGCAGCGCATAGTCTATGCTGATCCCCGCAAACCCCGCAAACACACTGCCCCGGTTCACCACCTGCACAACACACGATGAGAGTTTAGAGACATGGCAGGCACGGGGGACACGGAATCTTGAGTCGGACTCGCAAGTCTCATTGTGTGGCAGGAACGGGTGACGGATATCACTCTGGAGAACTCTCACAAGTGACCTCGCATGGCAGGGAAGGGTGACAGGGATAAGCGGGATAAGCAAAGCACGCGTTACAATAACGAACAACACAGGGAAGAGTGAGTGGTGGAGAACACACGAAAATGCGAGCGAGGAAGAGGTGGCATGAGCACACAAGGGTGCGAGTGGGGGTGGGGGGGGGGGGGAGGGGAGAGGGGGGGGGGAGGAGAAGAAAGTGTGTGTGCGACAAGGGGACGGACAGCAAAGATGGCAGCGGCGAAGACGAGAGTGTTGCCCATGAGCTCCAGGCGCACGGACAGCCAGCGGACAAGTTTTGTAACGTCTCAAAGAAAGGGTGTGTGAGGGGAGAAGGTAACTGACAGCAAAGATGGCGGCAGCGAAGACGAGAGTGTTGCCCATGAGCTCCAGGCGCACGGACAGCCAGCGGTCGCAGCACTTGAGCAGGAAGAAGGCCCTGTTGTTGGCGTCCAACTTGTCTGCTCCAAACACAGGGACACGAGGGGGAGGAGGGAGTTTTGAGGCGCCTAAAACATCGTCCCATGAGCTCCAGGCGCACAGACAGCCAGCGGTCGCAGCACTTGAGCAGGAAGAAGGCCCTGTTGTTGGCGTCCAACTTGTCTGCTCCAAACACAGGGACACGAGGGGGAGGAGGGAGTTTTGAGGCGCCTAAAACATCGTCCCATGAGCTCCAGGCGCACAGACAGCCAGCGGTCGCAGCACTTGAGCAGGAAGAAGGCCCTGTTGGCGTCAAACTTGTCTGCTCCAAACACAGGGACACGAGGGGGAGGAGGGAGTTTTGAGGCGCCTAAAACATCGTCCCATGAGCTCCAGGCGCACAGACAGCCAGCGGTCGCAGCACTTGAGCAGGAAGAAGGCCCTGTTGTTGGCGTCAAACTTGTCTGCTCCAAACACAGGGACACGAGGGGGAGGAGGGAGTTTTGAGGCGCCTAAAACATCGTCCCATGAGCTCCAGGCGCACAGACAGCCAGCGGTCGCAGCACTTGAGCAGGAAGAAGGCCCTGTTGTTGGCGTCCAACTTGTCTGCTCCAAACACAGGGACACGAGGGGGAGGAGGGAGTTTTGAGGCGCCTAAAACATCGTCCCATGAGCTCCAGGCGCACAGACAGCCAGCGGTCGCAGCACTTGAGCAGGAAGAAGGCGCGATTGTTGGCGTCCAACTTGTCTGCTCCGATAAGAGGGACATGCGCAAGCAAGGGGGACGTGTGATGGGTAGGTGCGAGGGAGTGGGATAAGGGTGAGCGGAAGGTTGCGGGATGAGGAGTGTACAGTATGAGTGCTGGGAGGACAGCGACTGGG